TCAGTGGTGTCACAGCGGGTTTACGTGCAAACGATCTTGCTACTTGACCAACTGGACCCACCACGTGGCGGCTGAGATAATGAATAAAGAATGACACACGAGAGGGGAATTCATCAATTTTATCCTGACTGCAGGATTGAGTATGGGGCAATTCCGGTAGGTCCTAGAACTTCGCATCTAAAGCTTATGCAGGCTGTTGCTTAGCGATCAGCAATCAATAATAAAAGACTGTTGCAGACAAAACCCTTCCTGGATTATTCAACATAATTGGCGCACTAAGCTAGAACGGAGTTACACATAGCAAAGATTATGCTAAAGTGTACGCTATCAATAAAAGTTATTGGGGTGACGAAAAAGAAATAAACCCAAAACACATGAGCTGCTCTGTCAGAGAATAGTGATGAAAGATCAGCCAACCAATTATTCACTAAAATACTCTCTACTTAAGGCTATTAAGTAGAACGTGTTTAGCGAATTATCGTTATACAAATTTTCACGAAGGGTAGTGTGACTCACCGATGTGCGATCACTCGTTGCGGCAGAAGCCTTTGCCTTGGCAGCCAAAGACTGCACAGCTGCCAGCCTGGAGAATATGCGAGAAAGTGTTTCCAAATGGCGGACAAAACCTTCGCGGTTAAACGTTAGTGTGCTAGCAGGGGTACTCTCTTCCACTGAGGTTGAAAGTTCTTGTACAGCCTGCTGAACTAGAATGCGGCAGTAATTAAGGAGGACAGGCTTTCCGCCAACGCGATTGGTAAGACAATCAACCAGCGTGACCTGAAGTTGCAGGTAAGAAAAAAAAGTAAAAGAAACATGAACACCAGCGTAAAAATGTCGGCGTTCGCATCATAAACTGAAGTGCTTTCTGTACGTCTAGACAAAGTGCCATGAAGGTGGACTGTGGCACGATCGTGGTCGCCAAACCTATGAGCCAAGTACTACAGTGCTATACTCGATTCGTCTGCATAACTAGGGGCAACGAAGAGGATTTCGGCCGAAAAGCTGACACGATACAGTCTGCCAAGACATGGCAGTGGTTCCTGAACTTTTGGTATTCATCGTTGAAGGAGGGCGTGAGTCCATAAATTGTTGCATGAGGTCTGAGCCGCGAAGTGGAGACCAGCTAGATCAGACATGATTACAAGTATGTTAAATACAAAACGATGACGGTGGACTGCGTACGCTGACAGCTCATTTGGGCCACTGGGTGAAGGGGAGGAAGTGTCAATACGTCTACTGGAAGACATCAAACTGTGGAGGAAATGCACTTGTACTTGTTACGGCTGCGATCATGACTGATCTAGCCGGCCTCA